GTGAATTCCAAAAAAAAAAATATTTAAATTACTTTAATTATTACAATTATTGTACTTAATTAAATATGACAATTTATTCGGCGCGATATAAGGTGCACGATTAATAATTTATATTTTAGACTTATCAGATATCAGGTATCCAATCAAAGCTGTCGATGTTTGTTGTCCGCTTCTACTTGTAATGCTGTTGCGTCAGGGGGTGCAGGTAATGCTTATGCGAGGCAAAGGGGGTGCAATGGATATGTAACAAGCTGTTTAATGGCCTACAAAGAATTTGTAAAACAAGAACTAGGATAGGCACCGAGATTCCGGTTTTGTTTCATAATATGCGACAGAATCCTAGCGGGAATCTTCATTTCTCGCGATAAAACTTTTTGCTTCCTAATGAGCGAAACCCCATGAAACGAATTCTCGCTTTAACAGCATTAACAGCCTTTGTAGTTCTAACAGCACACGGCCTTCCTGAACTTTTCTGGTTTTCGACAGATGAAGTGTTGTTGTATCTGTTGATAGTATGATATACGAACATACGGCTGATGCCAAGCTTTTGAAGTGTCTGGAATATGACCGACGGCTCCATACCCACTTTGTGCAAGGCGATCACTGATGCTATTTTCTTTAATACCCATTGTAATTTGATGTTGAACACGAAAAACTATGTGAAATGGCGCAAAATCGAAAGTTTTATTAAAAAAAATTTTTAATGGCTCTGGCACGATTATCGAAATAAGTTTTTAAAATAATATACGTGTTCCAAATTCAAAATAATTAAAAAGTTGAAAAAAAGAAAAGTTTTTATGTAACAGTATTTATGGCCAGACTTTTTATATACATTACAAAGACATGACATACATGTTATATACCGCGTTATTAAAATGTTATTTTTATTACCAATCCATTGTAGTTTATTATTCTCTCAGTATTGCGCTAGGACAGTTTGTTTGTAAGCCGTTGTCATCGCAACGGTATCGTCGCATCTTAATTTTGCGTGTCTACAATTATTTAGAATATGGTCAATGAACTTTAAGTAACGTCAATCAGAGACATTTTGAATGAGATTTGTGCGAAAACTGAATTTTGTAGTAAGTTAACTTTTTGTAGATTGTCTTTTGACTGATACGAGAAACCACGCTTGCTATAAACTTAATAAAAATTTAACCTGGCGAGGGCAGTGATTCGTTAATACTACAGTGCTTTAAGGCCTGTATTCACTTTGATTAGTTCGAGTGCAAGTGATTAGTAATTGAGGATGATTGATTAGTGTAAGACGCAGGTAGTGTAGTAGTGTCCAATTCTTGATTACTCGCTCTGTTAAGTATATTCAGTTGTCGATCAGCAAGTATCGACGAACATCGAGAAGCGCGCTTGCAAATGGAGGAAGTACTGACAGAAGTATTAAACAACGAAGCTGAACTTAAGTAAAGTAAAGTAGTGAACAAGACCAAGAAAAGTATGGGTTCGAAAATGGATTAATGGAAGACCCATTCATAGCGCAAGCAACTCTTTAAGGAATTGCCTGCTAAAGATACGACGGATTACTTTGCTCTCAGGTTGACCGAAGAGTCCGGCTGCCTGTCCAGACGTGTTTTGGCAGGCTGCGAGTGAGGGGGAAGGGAGGGCGCACGTGACGTCACTACTCGCAGTTCACTCACAAACAAATAGAACACGCTTCTAATCACGTTACTACGCAGCCAACTAGTCACCTGCACTAATCAGTCGCTGTCCACACTTGTTTTCTCCTTATCACTAATCACTAAACAAAGTGACTTCAGGCCTTTAGCCTCATTGTGCCTGATGTGTACGTCAGAAGATGACATCGACCGCTCGTATTATGTGTGCTTACAGCTAGAACTTATTAATGTACCTATTACGGTTAATTGTCCGTTGAGTAAACAGTCAAAAGTTCTATTTGCATTTTTTTTTGTAGTTAAATATTTTTTGTCTTGTTTTACTGTCAAGAAAATACTGTGTTATTTGTAAAAAAAACTAACTAGCTTCAGGGTGTCGGTTTTTTGTGACGGTGTGCGCGCGCATCGTAAGGCCGTTTCTCCACTGCTCCGTTCCGGCAAACGTTAATTACCGATCCGATTTAGAAACTCACAACAGTACTTACGTGCTTCTCCACTACTCCGGCATCCGGTTTTTATCGATCCGATAACTTGCTAGATCGGAACGCGGTGTTTTATCGGTCAAAGTATATCCAAGAGGTTATAAATTATTGTTCACAGGTTTATTTATAGTTTCTTTAATTTGAAAGAATCTGGATAACCTGGACCAAACCAAATTATGTTGCTATTTATTATATTTTTATACCATAAGTATTAGTGAACTATATATTAAGTAGATTATAATATTTCAAGATAGACAATATAAAAAAGTAATCCAGGGCAATAAAATTTGCAGAATTTAGAACGTTTTATTAATAAAATTAAGTATTTTGGGTTTTAGTTAATATACTGCTCAAAACAATTAGCGGAACAAGATGTTTCTTCTTTCCATTGCTTAAACTAAAATTAGATTTAAATTAACTTGTACGCTATTTTTTACCTTGTTAATTTGTTAATTACTACAATTAATACAAAAAATCAATTTGTATTTTTTTTATTAAAAAAAAAAATTATAATTAACAAATTAACAAGGTAAAAAATAGCGTACAAGTTAATTTAAATCTAATTTTAGTTTAAGCAATAGAAAGGAGAAAAATCTTGTTCCGCTAATTGTTTTGAGCAGTATATAAGTGTTGCATGAAAATACACCAGTATCGATTAATGTCGGATCGGATATAGTGGAGAAGCGCAATCCGGCCTTCCGATATTTTTCTCATGAGTCATTCCGGTATCCGACGTCGGACCGGAGCAGTGGAGAAAGGGCCTAATCGTATACACTCATCATTTCGATGACGCGCCAAAAGAAGTATAACTTCAATAAATAAAAATGTAATTTTACCTATTAAATTTTGGTTTTGAGGGATTATAATATAATATAAAAATACTCCTTTGTTCTATTTGTACCACTTATCACTATTTAAAAAAATAAAACAATCAATCTTTTTAGGTCTGGTCCTCAGATTTTTGTATGTTTCATTCATAGGCAAGTAGGTAATCAGCAACCTGTGTCTGACGCACGCCGTCGACTTTCTGGGTCTCAGGCAAGCCGTTTTCCTCACGATTTTTTTCTTCAACGTTCGGGCGAATGTTAAATGCGCACAAGGAAGAAAGTGCTTTGGTCGAAAGCCTGATCGAACCTACGACCTCAGGGATGAAAGTCGCAAGCTTAAGCCTCTAGGCCAACAGTGCTCAACTAATTAGCGTTTGATTTAACTAAAAAATATATTATTTAATTAGTTGTATTACATTAAATTTCTTGTAACTGTGATGTAAAGAAAATGTATACATTAAAATCTATTTAAAATTTATTTATATCGGTTTTAATTTTCATAATTAATCTTAAAATAATTATTTATTTTATAAATGTGGTTGGGATATCGTTATTTTTTAGTTTTTTATGAGGTGAATTTTAAAACAAGTTTTTAATTTTCATCTCAACGACGCTACTGGACACTAGATGTCGCTAAATAAAAATACTTTTTCAAAATATCGTTTATTACTCAATAATTTAAAACACAAACATTAGAATCATACATAATCATGATTTACACATTATCGACATTCACTATTTTATGATAGTATTGTTAAAATAAATATTTAAAAAACAGGGCACGTAATACTGTTAGGCTTAAATAGGAGACTAGGTTTTGACGTTTTTAATTTGATTGTTTACGGATGTTTTTAAAATCTAACGCTACTAAAATCTTCCCGAGTATGTAATAGTAAAGTATTGATTCTAATGTACAACTAAACCTATTATTCAGATCAGAAATATAATAAGATTATAAATTAATCCATAAACAATAAACCAGTCTAATGTTACCGTTTCATATAAAGTTTTTCTGTCTCTTTTATCACGTAATTATTTAAAAAGATACAAAGGTGTACTTTAGTTAAAAGAGTGCAATAAGACTATTTTATTTAGAAAGTGGGTAAATTTTCGTATTTATTAGATTTTATGAAGTTAAAGTAAGCTTTGTGCTTGGAGTACAGACCTTGTCCTAGATTTACAAATCAAAAGACAGAGATAATTTTCTTGACGTATCAAATTTACATTTACCGTAATGGCTGTTGTGCACACTCGCCTAGACTTCACGAGACCGTTAGCAAATGTGTACAGCCACCACGAATTGACATTGACATATGAAGTGCAAATAACCGCCGGTTTATAATTGTGATGTCGTGAATACGCATTTTGATAATGAATGTAGAATCATGTATTATTTTATTAGTTTTAATTAAATGCGAGGATTATTATTGGCACTAAACTTACAATTTTATACTTATCATTATAATTATGGAACGTATAATTAAAATTAATAAGTACTTATTTTATCTTTAGTGAAAATGCCAATATAATGTACGACTCATTTTTAAATACATTTAAAAAGCAAAAGTGTTAGTTAGCGTATCAACTAAAGAATTTATGTTATTTTAATTTCGAAACATATTCACTAAATACTAATAAAAAATATTAATTTTTATACAATCTTATCTATTTAATCAGATATTGGATACGATTAAAAGGTGGTTCGAATAAATTTTATTTCTTAATATCTAAGAGTACATTTCTATTTAAACAGCCTAAGACTAAGCACACACAAAACATTGGTCGTTAAGTTTTTAATAAATAGGTCGTCGTTCTGACTGCTCTAGCAATTGAAGAGTAGAAGAACTAAGCAAAAAAGCAAAAGAAATTATTCGAAACTTAAATATTTTTACAATACGCTACTCGACACTAGATGGCGTTATTACAAACTAGCGCAAAACTTCACTGGTATGGGAAATCGCTTCGTAAACTTAAAGCTTGTCAAGTTTTTGAAACAAAATGTGTCCAGACTAGTTAAAAAGAGTTTTATAAGAGTATTAAGGCTTTGAATCGCGATCTTCCTGTCACCAAATATTGCGTACTGGGCGTGGGATGACAGCCGGTGGCGGCGGTGGTAACATGTCAAACTCCTCCACTATTGTCTTCGGATGGAGAGCACTAATATTATTGTCTACTGTATATGTCCTAGCGTGAGTGTGGACAATCGCCGGCGGATCGTTTACCAGCCAGTCGTCATTTTCTCTGAGGCGTTTCTGTCTGGCTAGTTGCCTGTCTCGTAGGTGTTCTAGTCTAGATAGATGAACTTTGATTTGTTGTGGACTTAGCCCAGTCCGTCCTGATAGCAGAATGTCAGCGTTTCGTCGGTAAGAGCCTTCGGGGTCGCGTCGGTTCCATTGGTAACTGTAAAAATTTGTTCAGAATAAATAAAGTCTGCTCAATAATTATCTTATTCTACTCTTTCGTTCGTTTGTAGCACTATCGACAAAAAAGGATTGGAATAATCACATACTATTTTCGTCCCGAAGATGGGATAATTATGGTTTAACAATATGTTAGTGGATGGGTTAATAAAATAATATTGACGAACTTCAGAAAATACATAAATTATCCAATACAGTATGACTTCTAGTCTTTGTTTTGTCTATATTTTGGACTTCATTAACAGAAATCTGTTATATTAAGTTCAGTTCAGTTAATCTGGTTCATATTAAGATTTAGACAATTTATTTTTTCTTTAGAATATTGACTTGTAGTTAGTTTAATGTTTAATTTTAGTTTTCTTATAATCTATTAATGTACTTAATTGGCTTATGTTTTCTGTTTCGTATATTTTGTTTAATGTAATCTGTTTTGGCTTTGTATGTTGTCTAAGTGTTTTCTTCTATAATATGTATATGTGTAGCTGTAAGATTACTAATAATGAATAAATAAATAAGATTATTGTAAATTGATATAAAAATTAATGTTCAAATATTATGTACAGTACAGTGCTTCTTGGTCGGCGGCTGAAATTGGTACTACTGTCGCTGTTTTGACAATCTACCAACATGTAATAAAGATCCAACTAAATTGTTTTTATTTTTATTCCTTGCATTATTAATTACAATGGCAAAGTTTTAATTGCCGAACGGTACTGATTGCTACGTATCTCAAAAGATATTAAATCAATAGTACAGGTAACAAAACCTATCATTTTTTCAAGTTTATGTCACATTTATTTAAGCCTAGAACTGTATTTTCTAGATACTAGTATACATTGTCTTATGAAGACATTTCAATAAATTATTAAGTCATGCAGACTTCAAATTATTCCTCTTATAATAATTAATTTTTATTTACTGGCAATACTAATATCCATGACAGCGACGCTCTTACCGACCAAGAAAAGTATGTAACGACGCTTCGTCCTATTCCACAGAACACAAATATCATTAAAATAGTCAATTGTCATTATTGAAAATTTTAATATACATAGAGCATAATTTTTTGAAAATCTATCCTCACCATGTTAAGAACGTTACTTAACGTTACTTAGAGCGACATTGGCGGAATTATGATTTACACAGAAGTCGCCATTTAAAAGAAAAGTGAAGTGAAGTGAGCATAATTTTAGTTACATACCCTGGGAATGGTCTAGTCAGTCTTCGCTGCACGTCGGGCCGTGATCGCTTCCTGACCTCGCTCGGTCTCAAGTCATACGTCTTCATGTTATTCCTTAGTTTATGCTGCCGTCGTTTCGGCAATTTTCTTAGAGGGCTGGGTCTTAAATCGTATGATTTTGGGTTTTTGACAGGATTACTGGTGACGTCATTGATTCGCGGGTCGTCGACCTCTCTGCTAACGCTGGGGGCTGTTATTTCGTTGATTTTACCCATCCGTTGGTAACGAAGTCGTAGTTCTTTGAGTTTAGACTTGGGTACTTTCCTGAGTTTCGTCTGGCAGATAAATTGGCGCGGCTCGTAGCAGCTGCGGGCGGCCCAACTGAAATAATTGTGTTTATATTATTAATATTAATAATTTTATTATATATTTGGTAAATATATGTATTAATAAAAGAGAAGAGTTTCACACCCCAGATGGCGCAAATTCTTACAGGGCACGGAGCCTTTGCACATTACCTGCATAGGTTTGATTTGCCTGCAGTAATGAAGATCAAACAGTAGAACATGTGCTTCTACATTGCCCTATATTCGCATCATCCAGGCACGACCTGGAGCAACAAATGCAGATGACTGTAGACCGTAACGGCCTACAGGACATGATAATAAAGCACAGATCGTGCCTGGAACGGTTTTGCGATAAAAATATTAAATATATAAAGACGGCAAACTAATCTGAAAGAGCGAGGAATTGCGCCCCGGCTCGCCCATGAATATTGTAAATAAAAATATTACCGATGTAGCCGGGGCGTATATAATGTATCATGTTTTATTGTAAATTTTAGAGATAGAAAAAGGATGGACACAATGGCAGGGGAGTAGAGTAACATTAATTAATATAAATATATATATTATATATATGTTTGATAAAATAATCAACGGTTAATTAAGTAAGTGTGTATTTCCAACTATTTAAAATTTCCCGATTAATCTTCTGTATGTGTTTTTAAACTCCTCCTTCGGACTAATTTTGATGATTTTTGTGTGTTCGAATGGATTCGAGAATGGCTTAGATTTCTTTCGGTTCAACGTGTGTACGCGCCATCCTTTGGCGGGTCCGCTAGTTTAAAATAATTTCGTTGATGTTTTTTTATTTACAGTCATTTTTTCCATTTAGATAATACATATCCATTTTAAGTAAGAATAAAGCACCCTTGTGGCAGTGTCTGTCCGCAGGACAAACTCTAACCAAATTCAGTATCTGTAGTGGTCCGAATAAAGTAAAAAAAAACAACCGCAAACGAGAGAGAGAGATCCGGAACAAACACAACACCCAGGTCGCGGTTTTTGCATATGCGTCTAACAACTTTAGACCAGAGTATTTTATTCGGATTTCAGATTTGTGAAGGCATACTTTACCGATTGATCGACTCTTTAAAAATGTCACGTATCGTAAAACGTTCATTAGGATGTCGCGATGCATTGTAAGTTGCAAGGACCACACCAGGCGTTGCATTCAAAGTACCGACAGCTATTAAAATTGCATTCACATTGTTAAATGTCGTGCTGAGAAATTCGGCCATAGTAGAAAGTTTAAATACATCGAAACAGTTAAGAAATTAATCAATTTAGCATAATACTACATACTAAAATAGTGTTTTAACCTTATTGTAATTTAATACCGGCTATAAGACTGATTCATGCATGCGTAGAGGCGAGAAGAACTTGAAGAAACTGATCGTGGTTGGTAACACAGAAGGCAAAAGATTACATGACCGTTCACCAACTAGTTGGACCGATCAAGTGAAAGACTGTTCACTGTCATAAAGAGAGACGCTGGACAGAAACCGGTGGAAACAGATAGTCCACTCCAGATGCTTCGTTGAGGACCACAACGCTCAGACATGAGCTGCCGATTAAAGAGAGAGATAAGACTGATTTATACGTCACTTGATGGATGATAACGAGATTTTATTAAATTAACTTGATTAGCTTTACAGAAATGAGATTCAGTTCAAACAGTTATTATAATTAAAGGAAGATCTCTAAGTATTTAAGAATGAATTGTTTCTGAATGGCACTTAATGAAGGAAGCTTTTGAAGACTTCATTCTTCTACTCCAGCATACGTACGAATCGTACGTCCGTTCACCGCTATGTATAGGTATAGATTAAAGTACTACGTATTTATTCTTGGCCATGAGAGGCAAAAAGTTAGCTCTAAGTTAATCTTTGGACTCTGCATTTTATGTATGGATTAACGTCCCAGGTATGTGCAAATATATTACGTATACGCATCTGATGGTTTGTGAAACTTACAATACCACAGGCAAATTCCTGTTAGCCCGCGCGTCACCCGCCGGGGCCCTTTGGCCTTGAATTCCCCACGTTTCTGTCATTATATGGATATTTATTCACTCACACCCGCTTTCAACTGTCAAATTGTATACCCGCGTTTGTATACAGAACATTTCATCGATTTCATTTCAGCCCTTATAAATCACTTTTACACTTATCGAAAATAAGTATAACTGACAGAAGTTACTTAGAAACCCACATGAGAAATATGTTAAGGAAACGACGGTACATGCAAATGTATAACAATGTACATAGAGATAAATTATGGTCTCACATAAAGTAAATTATGCTTTAATTAATTAATATATTTTAACTTAATAATATAATTTAAAGTTCGTGTACTAAAACGTATCTCAAGCGAAATTGTGAGCGCTTAAAAACTATAGATAAAAATTAGTTTTGTTAATACGCTGTGCGCGATTTAAATAGCTTCGATGCGATTTGTTTGATTTCGATGTAGTTCTCTAAATGGCCGTAGCGCTGATTTCGCAACCTTTAGCAATCCCGCTGTACAAAAACTGAACATTGAGACGCCATTGGGTTGGTCCAAGTACCGGAGACCGTGAGGTCTCCGTTGTGTCTTCCAGGCGCACACACGCAGTCAAAGCCTCACTACTTTATGGAACCAGCTGCCGTTGCAGGTATTTTGCAAACTGTTACGACTTAGCGGCCCAACAGAATAGGAACCTTAAAAGCCGATAACGCACTTGCAAACCCCTGGTGTCAGGGTAGCCATGGGCGGTAAGCGCTTAACTGTATGTGACCCGTCTCCTCGTTTGCCTAAGATAAATAAAAATCTACCAAATCTTTACCGGTAGAGTAATTCGGGCGTCATAGCAATGCAGTGGAACTGTAGATCTTCTGGTGTCATCTTCTTCATCTTGCTAAAAGACTGGTAATGCATCTCCTTCAATTCGCCGCCCCACTTCCAAGCTTTTGACACGTAGTCATATATACCTCCGATCCATCGACTTGCTTTTTCTGAAAAAGGTAATTTGGAACATTTAAATTTTAATGAAGCGTTGTTATGGAGATACCTAATCCGCATGAGGGAAATATGTCTTCCTCAAATTCAGTTAAATTTATAATTTATACTTAATTTTTTCCGAATAATTGTAATATCAGTTATATTTTGATAATAATTGTTCACAGTCTATTAAAGGATAAAAGTAGTAGTCCGACAAGCTAGTAGCTGATAGTTTTTTGCCTTTTGCCCTGAATTTTGACAGTTTGCGAAATAAACAGTCATTGAAAGTAATCTGTATAAAACATGTTATAGAGAAAATAATTTGTAAATAGTCTTTAATTTATCAAGAACATTTAAAAAAATGATTTATATACGTAACCCAAAACGGTCACAGATTAGTCGACAAAAGCATAAACAATAATCGAATGACAATTAATGTACTAAAAACTTGACGTTTAATGTCACAGGGGCCGGTGCAACGCCATCTTGGATAGTGGCGTTTTGGCGGGTTAGTAATTTATGAATAAGTAATTTGATTTTTGAAATAATTTTCAGAATTAAAAGATATATCAGTATGTTCCATAGTGACTAATGAATACTCTGAAATGGTTTTAATCGTTTTTGCCCATAACTTTTTGAAGCATGAAAAGCAAAAATTATTATACACTATCTTAATTATAAAAATATTATCTTCGAGTTAAACAATAACAATACATACCGATACCAGGTTTGTTCAAATAGTTGCGTAGATTTCTGTCCTCCCAACGCGCTGGTACTGATAAATTTCCACCACGGTCCTGTAAAAAATATATCGTGTTTATCGAACTGTGGCTGGAAACCTTACTTGCCGACGGGAAACAATGATTTAACATGAATGAATTTTGACAGTATTGTTAAATTGACATTTGAATCGAATATCATTTTATTAAAATTTACCCAGCACAATATTGCTCATTTATCTTGACATTTAAAATAACACGCTTCACTAGTGATGTGCTGTACGAAGTACTGGTACTGATACAGCCAGTACGATGGGGCGGAACCATTTTCAAATATTTTTCATTGATGTTCAAAACACTAGCCGTATAAACCTACCAAACATGTTTTAACTATACGACATAAGAACCTCTGTTTAAACATCAGTTAACTGAAGCTTACACTATATATGTAAGTACGTATATGTTAAATCAAGGTTCTATGTAATACTGTTAAAGTTTTATTATTAGTAGCGGCTTGATCCTTTGGCGTTGCGTAATGATGTGGGGCTCTTGTTCTACGCATTTACCATGGAGAGTGTTCAGTTGTTGTTCCGAGTACCTTCAACTGAGTTTCATAATCGGACGTCAAGGCAGAATAAATAATACCATCCGTATAACCTCACCAGCTGAACACTGAAGTATTTCCGCCCAATTCTACTTAGGGTATTTCAAGAAAAGAGCGTACCTATTCCTGAAAGGCCGGCAATGCACTTGCGAGCTTTCTGGCAATGTGAGTGTCCATGGGCGGCGGTATCACGTAACATCAGATGAGCCTCTTGCCCGTTTCCCTCCTAAATATATATATAAATAAAGGATACAATTATTTTAATCAAGTATTTAAAGCGCCTTGAGGTGTCAGTTTGTTTGATAAGAGTGAGCGATGGGAGAGTCTAGTTAAAATATTTTGTTGACATCAACGGTGTTGCGATACCCGTATAAGTAAATTACGTTTAATAAATTTAATTCTCAAAACAAGACCAATTAATATTATTATAATTCATTTTTAGAAAATTGAAAAACTGTATATGTATTTGATTGTTATGATTACTAATAAAATGTTTTTTTTTTTGCAATTTTTGCACTGTATAATAAATATAATAAGTTTAGTTATTTATAATTGTTGTCAAAACTTATGGTCGAAATACTCTCCCACGCTATAAAAGCACTTTGTTTTTACTAATTTAATTAGGTTTTTGTATTTCTGAGTCATAGGGTTAGATTTAATCGCGATTTAGTGCTGTGTGACTTCCGTATGTCAAATCCAATGTTTTTGACCTATAGGCCGGCAACGCACGAGCGAGCCTTCTGTCAATATGAGTGACCACGGGCGGCGACGGTATCACTGAATATCAGATGAGCCTGTCCGTTTGCCTCCTATTACATAAAAAAGGAGGATATTAGCTGTTAGTCTCTAAATGAATCTAAACTTGAGAATGGAACAAAAAATCCTATTGAAATTCCGAAAATCTTAAAAAAAATTGAAGACATTTTTTTTATTCTAACTAAAGACCATTTGGAAACGGGCACCTAAGAATTTTCTTTTAAAACGAATTACAAAAAGTAAAAAAACTCGTCTTTATTGCCGACTACTGGCCGTGTACATTTCAAGAATTCACCAAAAATTTATAAAGAAATTGCCAGAATTTACCACAATTACATCAAACAATTAACTTTCATTAAATTTACAGAAATCGACCTTACCACGTAAAGGTGCAAAAGAGTTTATATGGGTAGCTTACAATATCCATTCAAACGGGATTTGACAGGACGTATCTTTCTGATAAGCGTGCACTCATGCATTTTGCTTTCACGAAACATTGAGGTTAATCAAATATAGGTAGGTAATTTCATTACATACAAATTTAGTAGGTTTTAAAGGGGGTGTACTTATGAACACGCGTTAGAAGTTATAATTGGCGTAACAAGATAAAAATCTTTTCAATATTTTTAACTTTCGCCTTATTCTACGTTTGTAGAAAAAACTACACTAACAATAGAAACAATTTACTCTCATCATTTTTCCCTAACGCGCCAAACGCAATATAACTTCAAAAAAACTAAAATGTTGACTATAGCTAACTTCAGGGTGTCGGTTTTTTGTGACGGTGTGCGCGCGCATAGTAAAAATTTACTCTCATCATTTTTCCCTAACGCGCCAAAAGAAGTATTACTTCAATAAAGTGCAAAAATTTTTTTGTCCACCCTACCACTACGGGGTATAAAAGCTTTCGACCTACCGAATATAAAAAAAGCCGTTACAGATTTCCGAAATGTGATTTCGCTGACTTTAACAATCGTACGTAGTGTTTGTGATGTCATCGCAAGGCGGGTGTTTCATTGGCAATTGTTCCCAATTTACGACTTCTGAGAAACCAATATTATATACACTATATTACTATTTGGGTGGCATTGGTTTTTAATGATATACTAGAGTTTTTTTACTTATAATTGAAAGAGATCGTTGGAAACCGATAACACCGCCTATTGCCCTAATTATTTTAATTCCTGTATTCCTTGCAATGTAAACAGTGGCGGATTTACAAATTTTCAAGGAATAGGCTGTGAAGTTTTTGCCGCCCTTGCCTCTACAACTGTCATATCCTCTGATTTTTTTTAGAATTCAACAATTTCGTTGCACGTAAAATAAAGGTTGGATTTGATTTTTGAGCACAAAATAATACACAAACCATCCAGTTTGCAGCCTCCCACCAGTAGTAGGACTGACATATATAGGTTGACAGGGGAAGAGGGAAATACACTTTCTTCAATTTCGCTCTTTTCACTTATACAAAGTGTGAGCTGAAGGTGCAGAGGTCGATTAGAGGTGGGGGTTGTGCAAAATTTGTTACTGTAAAACATCAGAAAACCGTCATGCAGAAATCTTTCTCATTTCTATGAGGTAGCAAAAAAATCGGTTCTACAATTTTCCGCCCTAGGCTCCAGCCTACTCAGCCTGCTGGTAAATCCGCCACTGAATGTAAATAAATCAAAACTTACAAATTTGATTTTGTATGTTCCAGTATTTACTTTATAAAATTCTTATGTAACATACACATTTTTTAATAACAAATAACTGAATTGTTTACTTAAGTAACTTAAATTATACTGAGGAAGACATTACCAGGAACGAAACACAGTTAGTAAATAAAAATCAATTAAAAACTGAAATATAAATTCCAAGTAATTTTAAGAAATTTAAAATAATTTAATTTGGGGCTACACAATCAAATTTCCCCCTGGTGGGGCGTGTGCCCCACGTTGGGAAACACTGGTATATTCGTAACGGATAAATTTAAAACGTAAAATCGTGTATTAGGGCAGATGAAAGTGATTATTTCTTTCTATGGCGATACCGACAATTACCCTGATCTCGTTGTTTGTTGCTCGATCCCAAGGTTGTGTCAGTGTTATTGATACTAAACGAACTATTTTAAAATATGTAGTAGATAAAAGTATTTTATTATTAGTAATAGTACCCAAGTTATAGTAATTTAGTATATATTGAAGGGAGAAATGGAAAGTTCAGCCGTTACCCAAAAGGGGTCCATGATGCAGAACACAAAGATACGGAAATAACAGAAACGTAGATTTAGTGTTTTTATTATTATTATAAAGTATTAAAAATCATATTAGCCTAGTCGTATTTATTATGAAATTCCTACTAACAAACCTTAAAAAAAAAAAAAAATACGAGTGTATTTTACATATTTTTTACTAATTACATCCTAATTGCCTTAAGGCTAATATATTAAACTTATGACAATAGTTTTAACAATCCATAAATGTTAGTAGACAATAAAAAGCAGGAAATTGTGTTATTAACCCAATTTGAATCGAGCATTCTAATGTTTTAAAATGATTCATAGTAGTAAAAAATCGTATTAATCTTTTTATGGCACGCGTAGTTTCCATTTATAAAACTTTACGCTAGCGCAAGTTGAATACTGTTTGAATATATTATATTTTGAAACCTAATTTTTTAGTTCCTAATTATGTCACGAGAGGGCCTTTAATTACTTGTATTATTTTTGCACTTGTTGTACTTAATTAATCTCAGAATAAATTGTAATCACTAAATATTCCATTATTACATCATCCACGTACATTCTAAGTTTAAGTTTATTTATATAATCTCTATATCAATCTATCCAAGCCAAGGGCCGACCCAGGCACTGTTTGGTTGGAGAAGGACAGATTATTTGGGCTTGCGGAATGACTATCTCATCTAATGAATTAAACAGATAAAAATTCATAATCCAACACTATCTTTACAGTGAAGGTACAACTTATGTTAGCAATTTCATCTTTCTAATTTTTCATTACTGAACTTCGTGATATCGACTTGCTGCTTCCACACCACTCTATCCTCAGCTTGTGTCAGGGTATTAGGGATGTTGAGACCCATCGACGAGGCGATAGACCCCGAATTCTCCTACCATCACTAATCCCTACCATTAACCACATTTACATTTATGTTAGCTTATACAAGCTTTTTTTTTCATAAAACTTTTATATAAAAGCGGAAGGCATTAATTATATTATTTTAGGTATATTAACAACATTTAATTCAGTAATTATGAAGCTAATAAGACGGGTTTATTATATATATAATTAAAAGTCTACCTTCTGTCTCTCTCTTTAACATCTCAATTCGTTACGAAGAGAGAGAACATTTTACGTATGTATTTGACGAAAAGATATACGTTGGATGAACCTTTTCGATATACTGTGTAATCTAAATAAATATCTACAAGTTTAGACATTATGAACTTGACAAGCAATAATAGCGCGAAACAGCGATAGATGGTTTCATAGACAATCAATCTCTATGTTCTGTGGAAAGTTTTCACAGATTCTACTGTAACTTAAAAGACTTGCTTTCAATAACAAACGCGCGTATATTTGATGTAACAGTTTAATAATAATAATTTATTTCTTTAAGCAGACAATCATAGGTGTGGTTAATATATTGTTAGGTACAATACTGTCCTAAATATTTAGTAGGAGATTTCAACCATACAATTAAAAATTATTAAGCACACACATCACAGCAAGAAAACCACACCCAGTTTTTGAAGTTATTCTTCTTTAGGCGCGTTATGAAAAATTGATGAGAGTGAAATTATACGATGCGCGCGCACCGTGACACAGAATGAAGTTGCCCACGGAAGATGCTACGGCATTGGACATAATTTAAAAACAACATTCGAATAATAATAGAATTTATGTATGTATAATTTATTATTTAATAATAGAATAATAATAAATATTTATTTATTTAATTTTTCAAATGTAAACTGAACTTCATTGACTATAATGACTCCTTTTCCAGTCTTTGATTACTTAATTGTAATTCATTATTTGCATGCAATCATAAACTATTTTTAATAATGCCAAAGAAGTATAACTTCTTACGCGCGTACATAAGTACACGCACCCTTTTTTTTAGTACACCATGTAGTCCATTGCAATGACCCTTGTAAGAGCAATCCAGCCTTCCCGCTATGACTATCAGGATTTAATGGAATATATTTTAACGAATAAATGGGTATGAATAGATCCAATACACGTATAATAAATTTGAATTCCCATAACCTGTCTAGGAAAATGAGATTTTTGAAGCGATAAAATTTTCTCGTTTAATATTTTAGAAAGTATTTTATAAGGTAATAAATCTGTATAAACTCTCATTGCGTTCTCAGAATCCTTATCGTACGTGGTTTATGATGATTGCGATTTTGATAAGACCCTTCGGAATACAAGGTTACGTGAATTATGGTGTCAATATTTACATGTAAGCGATAGCATACAGATCAATAGAAGTTCAGTCTTTATGTCACTGTCAAGAAAATTGAAAGAGTAACAACTGTCACTGAGTTAGATTTTTTTTTTAACAAGGTTGTGTGTGTGATTTATTTATTTACAGCCCATGCATGATATTTTGAATATACCCTTTGCGGTTCTCTAACCTGAAGTCGACGCTTGAATCCTGTACACTCATTTTTTTTCTCTTTTTTTTATAGAACAGGCAGGTGGTTCCCTGATGTTAAGTGATACCGCCATCCATGGACACTCTCAATGCCAGTGGGCACGCGAGTGCGTTGCCGGCCTTTTAAGAATTGATATGCTTTTTTTTGAAGGACCCTAAGTCGAATTGGTTAGGAAATACTACAGTGGGCAGCTGGTTCCACAAAGTGCTGGTGCGCGGCAAGAACTGCCTGAAATTTGGCATCCTACTTGAAGACTAATAATTAAAACTATATACTCTAAAATCTTTATACATTTCAACACATTCAGTCACAGTAGGAATATCGTATGACCGTAGACAAAAGTCTAGACTAAAGTGATTTTGAAGTCCGCTTCAAAGATACCGCATCTATCACTATCGTTTTGACGTTGACATCTGTTTATTTTCTTTTACAACGCCGATAAAGTATGAAGAAGTGGTCCCATATGTTTCAAGACGCCAGTAAATTGTTATAACAATACTATTTGTGTGATGAAAATGTTTTTTTCGCACTATAAAATCTACAAAAGACTACAATAATTATGGTGATTATAATAGCATAATTACGTTATATTATGTTAAACACTGAAAATTTAGTTAGTGTAAAAGTCAAATCACGTTTACTTAGGGAACCGTCCAAACTTCATGACAATTGCTTCAGTAGAATTTGAGATATGGGCGAATTTCTGGAGGAGATACACACACAGGTAAATATAGTTTTGTTGTATTTGATGTCGGTTTAGTAACAAAAAATTTTTAACGTTTTTATTTGCAATAAAAATGCATTTTATTCAAATACAACTAAAATTTATTTTAATAAATCACTTATCGAAGTTCCATTACAAAATATATTTATTTCAGATGCAAAAACATTAATGTCTGAACTGAGCCGTGCTGCGAAAAGAATTAACTGGATTGCAATGATTCAGAGCAATAAATCTAGTATCTCTTATTCTTAAAAAACCCTCTCAAGCGTGCCGTTAAAAAAAACAGTGCCGCTACAATCTTTTTAGGTTTGGGCCTCAGATTTCTGTATTTGTTTCATGACACACGACCACTTGATTGTGTCTAAGGCAAGCCGTTTCCCTCACGATGCTTTCCTTCGCCGTTCGAGCGAATGTTAAATGCGAACATAGACAGAAAGTCAGCTGGAGATCGAACCTACGACCAGAGGGATGAAAGTTGCACACTGAAGCCACTAGCACTATAGCATATGTCAAATGAAATACTTGAAGAATTTTTCCCTTGCTAGCTTGCTTATGTTCCAATATAACTAATGTGTATGTGTGTAAAGTTTGTGGTGTCATATTTTCTTGTATACACGTTGTCTTAGAACATATTGCGTGGTACATATGTTACTGTAAAAGCTCGAACTACGGTTAATCTTAAGATTTAAGTGTAAGTCTTAGGATTTACCGTACCGAGTTGGTAAATGTAAGTATTTCTGAAAATACGACGATTTTTTCGAGCTTTTACCATTCGAATTCAGTATATGCTAGGTTTTACGACTGTCAGCTGCTAGATGTTGGTTTTAGGAATAAAACAATGAGTTATTCTTAATTATTTACTTTAATGAACTAAAAGACAAAACAGGTACATAGTATTACAAAGGTATCATATGATAGTAATAAGTACAAACTAATACCAACTTATTTAAATTATTTTTAAAAAACACATAACGTATATCTCTGAATATCTCAATCTCTATCATATCTATCTAACTGAATCAGTAGTTCTCTATTTGGAATTTAACAACGAAATACAAACATAATGCTTACATAAGCTAGTCATGTTTTGTTTTTCAACATTTACCGTGCCATTAATGTAAACCCTAAGATTTACCAACGGAATGGTGGTAAGAGTTGGAATCGCGAACCTTTTGGGACATTTACCATTAGGTATTGGTAGATCTTTGGTTTTACTGGAATATCTTAGGATTTACAGCAGTTCGAGCTTTTACAGTAACACATACATGGAACGTAGACCTCTATACGATATGTTTCTGTATGCAATATTTTTTTGGAGAGGTTCATAGAGAAGTCATCACACAATTCAAGTCTTTGGGATACACGAGATTTAGCTCGAAGTACGTCAATTTCAAATTCTCCACATTTAGAACTAAGCAGTAGCGTAACTATACCATCTGGGGCCCGTGGCAAATTCTTTTGATGGGGCCCTATCAGTAAAAATCGTCACGTTGTACACAGTTTAATTTTAATATCCAAACTTCGAGATTTTCAGCGTACTCAATTACACGTTGTATATGTCCCACTAATGGCCATAGGACTCCTCTCTTAGGCGAGAGGGAATGTTCTGTAGTTCCGTATTGGAGGCTTTACATTCATGCATAGAACATAATATATCTTGGGCAGGGTCCTCTTGGGTCGGGGGTCCGTGGCATTTTGCCAGCCCTGCCACCCTATTGTTACGCCACTGTAACTAAGTCTCTTCTTTCTACGCCTACGAACTTTTTAGCCCATTTAATAGATCTAAGTCCAGTTTATAAAATATTTTGGCCACATGAAACGATTATACCATCGT